CGGCTTACCTATGCCGAGATGGCTTGTTAATCTCAAGTGTGTCGAACGAGTGCTTTCGTTTGACGGTGCGGATGCGTCGTGATGTTCTTCGAAGCTTTCGTAGTCTGTCACGACTTCTCATTCGAGACACCGACCGATGCGTATTAGGTCTGAGGTGCTGTGATTCGGTAGATCACATGTTTTGGCGACGAGGTCTAGGGGCTCGATTTATGCCTACGACTTTTAAGTCCGATACGCGTGACAGATAGCGGTTTTTTCTTGCCCGTATGGCTTGTCCGTGCGAGGTGCTGCTCTCGTCTTTTGTGGGTGATCAGTCCACGGGTGCTGCGTTTAAGTGCATCCGAGCGTTGGGCCAGAACGTCGGTGTGTTGCGTTATTTCGGAATTATGCTTTGCGTGCGGTGCTTGCGTTGCCGATGTCTTCGGTAGGAAACTCAGTTACCGGTTGAGGGCAGAAGTCGTTACTTCTGGGTCCTTGCCGAGACGGGAACCCTTCCGAAGAGGTTCGATAAGAAGTGCTTGCATAAAAATAAAAGAGCTATTTATTTTTATTAATTTATAGTGTGCCTTTATCGAGAAAGACTGCCTACGTACCCATGCCGGGATCAAGCCAATCGTAGTTCATTACAAATGTTCATGTCATGGACATGTCTTTTTTTTTTTTTTTTTTTTGTGCGGTGCGACGCGTCTAGGTGTAGAACCTGCGTAGGTTCATGGAGTTCCATGGACGAGGCAGTGGGTTTCCGTGACAATCGTCCAGCTCGTAGACCCCGGGTTTGATGATCTTGGTGATGCGAAACGGCCTTCCCAATGGAACCCGAATTTGCCTGCGTGCTCGGGTTTGGTAAAGTCGTGGACCTTCTTAGATACAAGGTCGTAGAGCTCGAAGCGCCGGTTTCGCACCTTCCTGTCGTAATATCTGGTTGCTTGTTGTTGGTAGTTTTGCATACGCAGGAGGGCGCGATCCCGTAGCTCTTCGGCGTGGTCTAAACTATGCAGGAGTGAGTCGTCATTCAATGCCGGGTTGAGGGGCATTAACGATCGTCGTAAGCTGGCTACGTGCAGTTCTGCCGGTGCTAGTGCTTCGCAACCGTGCGACAAAGAGAATGGGGTTTCCCCGGATGCGGTTCTGGGGTGGTTCGATGCGACCAGAGCACTCCATCCAATTCGTCCGCCCAAGCTCCTTGGTAGCCTTCAAGCCTTTTTTTCAATCCATCAACAATAGTTTTGTTTGTGGACTCGGCTTGTCCATTAGCTTGAGGATATCTTGGCGTGGAGTAAGTGATCTTGATGTTCCACGATGCGCAAAATTCTCGGAAAGTTGCTGCGACGAATTGTCCTCCGTTGTCCGTGACGATCTCATAAGGAAGACCGTGACGGCATATGATATACTGCCACACAAAGTTTCTTACGTCATGAGCCGTTGGGTTTTTGTACGCTTTTGCTTCTACCCACTTAGTAAAGTAGTCGGTGACGACCAAGAGGTAAGCGCATTGCCGTGAGCGTGGCATGGGGCCGACGATATCCATTCCCCAGCGCATAAAGGGATATGCCGGGATCGCAGCTTGAAGTGCTTGCGTTGGGGCGTTGATCGCCGGTGCGTATCTTTGGCAGGGGACGCATTTGGCGGCGACGTTTATGCAATCGCCGATCATCGTTGGCCAGAAGTATCCGATCTTCTTAATTTTTAAAGCGAGTGATCTTCCGCCGGCGTGGTTTCCTGATGCTCCCTCGTGGGTCTCGACCATGATGCTCTTAGCTTGTGCTTCGTCGCAGCATCGCAGGATGACTTTGTTTGCGCTCCAGCGAAAAAGCTCGTTGTTGCGTAAGAAGTAGTAAGCTGCTTTTCGTCGGAGGCGGCGGGCCGCCCATCGCTCCTCTGGCACGGCGTCGTTGATGAGGTAATTTCTGATTTCATCCTGCCATGATTTGTGTTCTGCTGACTCGTCATCAGTGAGGTTTTCGTCTTCTTCTTCTTCTTGCGAGATTGCCATGACGACGGTTCCCTTGGGGAGTTTGATGCTTGGTTCGTCGATGGTTTCGACCGGGATGACCCGTCGCAGTGCTGATTCGGTTTTTGACGCCAAGGCTGCGAGTGCGTCGGCTTCGGAATTCTCGGAACGGGGGATCTTTGTCAACTCGAACGTCTTGAATGCTTTGGCAAGTCTTTGCGTTTGTTTGAGATACGCATCCATGCGATCGTCTTTCGTGTCGTAGTCACCGCTGAATTGTTTAGCGACGAGCTGAGAGTCACAGAACGCACGAACGTGTTCTGCTCCGACTGCTTCGGCGAGACGAAGTCCGGCAATAATCGCTTCGTATTCGGCTTCGTTGTTGGACGCTGGGAAACCGAGTTTGATCGATTGCTCGAGAATCTCGCCTGTCGGGGAGACGAGGCGGATGCCGACGCCTGCTCCTTGCCTGGAGGACGATCCGTCGACATGCAGTGTCCATTTGAGGATTTGCTCGTCCTCTTGAGTTGCGAGCTCTGGTGGGATTTCTACGATGAAGTCGGCTAGACTTGTGACTTGGCGCTCGTCCGGCTTTTGAACTCAATATCGTATTCCGATAGTTCGATTGCCCATCTTGCCATTCTTCCGGATTGGTTGGGGCCGTGAAGGATTTGGCGTAGTGGTTGGCTGGTAAAGACGACGATGGAGTGTGATTGAAAATATGGCCTGAGTTTTCGTGCCGATATGACTACTGCGAGCGCCAGTTTTCTAGGGTTGGGTATCGCGTCTCGGCATCATTGAGGGTTTTGCTGACATAGAAGACTGGCTGCTGCTCTCCTCGATCTTCTCGGACGAGGACTCCGCTTACCGCCGTGCTTGATATTGCGATATATAAGAGTAGGGTCTCGCCTTCTTCGGGTTTTGCGAGAATTGGTGGGGTAGTGAGATACTCTTTCAATTGTTTGAAAGCGTCTTCGCATTTTTGTCCCACTCGAACTTCTTGTTTGATCGAAGCAATTGGTAGAAGGGGAGACACTTGTCGGTTGAGCGCGAGATGAATCTGTTCAATGCGGCGATACGTCCGGTGAGTCTTTGGATTTCTTTGGAGGATGTCGGCGATGGGAGGTCGAGGATCGCCGAGATCTGCTTCGGGTTTGCCTCTATCCCGCGTTGGGTCACAACATACCGAGGAATTCTCCCGAGGTAACGGCGAATGTGCATTTTGCGGGGTTCAGCTTCATCCCGTACTCTCTAAGATTCGGAAACATTCGCTGAGGTGCTTGACGTGATCGTGCCTTGGCAGATTTGACTAGCATGTCGTCGATATAGACTTCCATGCTTCTACCGAGCTGGTCCGCGAACATTTTGTTCACTAATCGTTGATAAGTGGCGCCGGCGTTCTTCAGGCCGAAGGGCATCACTTTATAGCAATAGGTGCCACGATCGGTAATGAATGCCGTCTTCTCGCGATCATCGGGATGCATGAAGATCTGATTGTATCCTGAAAAGGCGTCCATGAAGGATAGTAATTCATTCCCTGCCGTGGCCTCGACGAGGCGATCGATATGCGGTAAAGGGAAGCTATCCTTTGGGCATGCTTTATTCAGGTCTGTGAAATCGACGCAGACTCTCCACTTTCCGTTTTTCTTTTTGACGACGACTGGATTTGCTAGCCATTCGGGGTATTTTACTTCAGTGATCGATCCGGCTCTAAGTAATTTTCCACTTCTTCATTGACTGCTTGAGCTTTATCGGCGCCGAGCTTGCGTCTTTTCTGTCTCATGGGTTTGTAGGTAGAGTCCACGTTTAGCTCGTGGGATGTGATTGCCGGGTCGATCCCTTTCATATCTGCCATTGACCATGCGAAAAGGTGCACGTTCTGTTTGAGCAATGTGACCAGTTGCTCTTTTATCACATCGTCGAGGTCGCCACCGATGCCAACGCACCTTTCCGGACGCGATTCGTCGATATTCACCTCGTCGACGAGGGCCGGCTTTGGTCTCTGGTGGTATGGAAGGCGTGGATCCATTTCCTCGTTTGCGGTGCATGTTGCTGCTAGGCGGAGCCGTCGCTCATAGAGGAAGCATGACCTTGCTGCCCCTTGATTCCCTCTCAGTGTGTAAATTCCTGATTGTGCCGGGAATTTCACACATTGGTGAAAGGTCGAGACGACGGCCTTCATCTCGTGGAGCCATGGGGTGCCCAAAATGGCGTTGTAAATGGCTGGTTTATCGATGACGAAGAATTTGGCGGCTTTGGTTGTTCCGCCGACGTGGATAGGTAGGCGGATCGTGCCTTCACTAGAAACGTGTTCGGAGGTGAACCCGGTGAGGGAGTACAACGAACGCTTGATCTGGTCTCTGCTGATTTCCATGCGGTTGAGGGTCTCTTTGTAGATTAGATTCACCGTGCTCCCGGTATCGATCAGGATTCTTGCTACGCTGGAGTCACTGATGTGCAAGCTGACCACGAGTGGGTCGACGTGAGGGGTATCCAGCCCCGCCGTATCTTGATCCGTGAAGATGATAGTGGGGATTTCTTCGCGGGTCGGGTTGCGATCGTGCTCCACCGCTGCGTATTCATGCTCCGTGATCGTCGAGATGGAATCGCGATGGATGGGGTTGCTCATTATCATGTTAATCTCTTGCCCTGATTCGTCGGAGTAGTTCGTTACGTCATCCGGCGTGTTTTCCGGGATTACGGGTTGCGCCGGCTTTCGTCTGTGACGAGAGCGGTCCCCTTTTATCGGTGGTAGCTCCCCGTGCTGGTATCTCCGAAGGAGATCGCGAGTTAGGCGTCGGCAGTTTCTTGTAGAGTGGTCACCGGTTCCGTGGAGGCGGCAAAACGTGTCAGAGTCGTCGAGATCGGGCGTCGCGACATCTGTTGCCCGTTTCTTGATGTGATGCGGTTCCTGCTCGGGCTCGTTGTCGGCTGCTGCGAACGCCGTTAGGAGTGATCTTTTTGGATTGTATCTTTTCGTGCCTCCATGGGTTCCTCTCTGGGTTTCGACGAGGTTGCCCTCCTATCTCCATGTTTCTCGGCGTAGAAGCGCTGGTCTTCCTCGAGGAAGATGTAGTTCCGAGAGCGGTGGAACGCGTCCTCCAGAGTCGCAGGGGGTTTTAGTGACAAATCCTCCTTAAACTTGGAGTCGTACCAGAGGCCGTTGCGGAGTGCTTCCAGCGGGACGCTATCGGGCATGTCGCCAGTGTCGCGAGCTGCTTGTTTGAACCTTTCCATAAAGCTGCGCAATGGTTCGCCTTGGGTTTGCGTTGTGGTGAACATGTTCCGAGTGATTCGGGTCATGTGCATGGAGTAATGCTTCAGAAAAGCATTGGTTAGGTCGTCGAAGTTATCGATCGACTCGGCGGGGAGGTTAGAGAACCAGGTCAAGGCATCTTTCGCCATGTGCTCGACGAATACTTGACAGTAGTTGGCCTCCCTTTCATCGTAAGATTTGTATTTCTCCCTCCTCATGGCGAGGTTGAACGCGGTTAGCCACTTCTTGGGGTCTTCTTCGCCGGTGTAAGAGTCGATTTTGAGTCGAACTCTTTCGTGTAGCTCAATCTGGCGGAGCCTGCGGGTGAGCGGGCTTCTTCGGGTGTCGGCGAGTGCTTTCGTCAATTCCGGAGCTGAGCTGGTGGCGCGATGAACTTTCGAATCGACCTCGTCGAGGCGACGATTCACCCGTTCAAGTCTTGAGTGGTAAGTCGCCTTGACGGATTTTCATCGTCTTCTCGTGCTAGGGCTTCCACCTGTTCCTGAGTCTTTTTCTGCTGTGCTCGCATTGACTCGAAACCGTCGGCGAGTGGCTTGACGAGATTCTCCATGAGTTTGAGGATCTTCTCGCTCGAGGAGGATTTCTTCGAGCTGCGGGGTTTGTCGCTCGAGGAAGATTTTCTCGAGCGGCGTGGTGCGGACGGAGGGGGGCTCTCGTCCTTTCTTGGCGGAGGAGATCGTTGCGGCGAAGTCGATCTTCGCGGCGAGACGGATCTCTGTGGCGAGAAAGATGGGTTTCTTGTAGGGAAGGCTTGTCCCTACCTTCAGCGGGTAGCGACTTGTCTATCGTGCTGGTAGACTGTCGCTTAAGTTTTCTTCTGAGGGAGACGGGCTCCCGGTGGGAGTGTTCTCTTTCGAGTTCACCATCGTTGCTAGTTCGTGAAAATCTAGATATCTTCGAGATGAATAGCGAGAAGCGTTTCCAGCCCCACGGTGGGCGCCAATTGTTGAATCCGAGATAGCACTCGTCAAGACGGGCTATCTAAGATGTGAGTTTAGGAAACTGGAACGCTTAATTCGACTCTTAGATTATCAAGAAGATTACAAGAGAGCAATCTCGCTAACAAGCCTAGCGAGATTATGATGATGAACAAGAGGATAGAGTAAAAGCTAATGTGAAAGCCTAGTGATTCTAGATGATTTCGGATCCCTCTCCCCAATGGGGGGTCTTCAATATATAGTGTTGATAAGTCGGCCGAATGATGAATATTCTCCTTCAGGCGAGATGGAAAACTTCCTCTTTTGCGATATGGAAAATCCCTCTTGTTTTTGGATCTTTCTCCATTCTTTAAGTCGGCATGAAGATTTATTTACATTTCTCCATGGATTGTGCCTTTCTCTTCAAGTCTTGCCTTTTTCTTGAAGATGTTAGGCCTAAAATCGGATTGGGCTTTGTGACTTTACTAATGATGACGGGCTCAGGGAAATGTGCTAATTTCTCCTCTAACAGAAACCTGATAAAACCCTAACTAATAACACCAAGTCAGCTGGTTATGTTTTGGCTAGAGCCCCAGTTCCAGATTATCCTCCTTATGATGAGTTTGAACGGCACTTGTCCGTTGGTTCTTGTATCTACCGCCTTTCTCGATGGGGACCATCTAGCCACGTCCCCATTATGGATTGCCGGTCTCACACGTGGGCCGAGGCTCCAAAGCCAAGCTTCCCAGCGGACGTACGGATAAGTTCTGGTAGCGTCTTTGATCATAAGATATATGTATTAGCACGCTACAAAGATGGTTACATTGGTATGAACTATTTCGCAGTGTTCGACACGGAAACACAAAGTTGGGATCCTCTACTTCTCCCTTGCACTGGGAAACACGTCTCTTTACGAGACTGCAAAAGCGTATGTATTGACGGAAAGTTCTACCTGACGGCGACTGGCTCAGATGTGGTTGTTTACGATCCCAAGGAAGGCAGATGGGACCTGATTACATCGGGAATGGATAGGTTTATGTTTGGTGATTCTTATTGCGTGATAGGGAATGTTTTGTACTCTGCTTCCGCCGAAAAGTTGCAATGGTATGATGGTGAGGTACATGAGTGGAGAGATTTGCAGGGTTTGGTTGGACTACCTAAGATACGTATTGACCGTCATGTTACGTTGGCTGATTATGGTGGAAAGATGGTGGTTTTGTGGAAGAATGAAACGACTTGTGACGACGAGATGTCTCAGATTTGGTGTGCCGAGATTGCGCTTGAAAGAAGCGAAAAAGGGTGTGAAATTTTGGGGAGAGTTGAGTGGTTTGATGTTGTGCTTACATCCCATGAGGAATGTCGTTTCTTCAAAGGCTGTTGCTGTTACTGTCTGATGAACGCGTCACTAGCTAGGGTGGCTTAAACGTGTGTTTGTTTTGGTAATACTATCATTTCATTTGGAATGATGTATGCAACTATTTATGATGCTTGAAAAAAAAAACTATATACAGTAGAAACTCTATAAATTAATAATGTTAGGACCATAATATTTTATTAATTTAGCGAATTATTAATTTATCGAGAGATAATTTGAATCAAAAACTTAGTTGGGAATCAAAAAATTATATTGATTAATCGAGTTATTAATTTATCGAGTATTAATTTATAGAGTTTCTACTGTATGATGCTCTCTTGTTGAATGAATATTAAGCTTATCTTAAAACAAAACATTTTTTTGTTGTGAATAAAGTAACTCACACGTCTCTCTTTATAAACAACACAAACTATGCATGTGGTGCCAAGAGCCTCCTCATGCGATGTTTCTAAAATTGTAATTTTATGTTGGTATTCTTTTTGTTTTTTTTTAATATTTCAGTATACTTTTGTTGTCTTAGGGAAATAAAGCGCAACTCGAAATTTTTTTTTATATATATATAAACTTCTCATATTATCCACAAATGTTCAACCAAACGAATTTTCATCCGAATCAGAAGATGTTGAATGGATGAGGAGGAAGAGAACCTATCCATCCATCTTGGTCTAAAAACGTTTTAGGGTTTGTAAAGTAAGCAACATCTTGAGGCGACAGATTCTTCTCCCACGCCACTCTTCCTTCCTTATTTGCTCCTGGTCCGTAACAATTTACCTCCGCATACGTCGTTTTATCTCTGATTTTCAAAACCCGCTAAATATAGTCAATATGCACACACTATAGTGTTTGCATAGGCTCAAGAAAAATGTAGCATAGTGGTTTGATTTGTATATACTTACACTTGTCCTTGATATGACCAAGAATCCCAGCCTTGTTGAACAATCACATCAGCCATGTTTGTACTGCAAAAGAATACTCTCGAGTAGCTTCGGTAAGCTCTTCCGAGGAATGCTTTACCAACTCCGACAATAGAGCATCCATTGAACACAAAACCACTTGTGTCCTGCTCGGTCTCTCTTCCTTGGGCGGTTATGAAACCAGGTATCAATCCTCCGTCCATCTTGTCTCCTTCTGTACTTTCTTCCTTTGTTAATGTTGTCACTCCCAAAACTTCTATCACGCAACTCTGCACACACACACACACACACATGTAATTTAGTTAATTAACGTTGTTTAGATGTACCTTTTAAATAAGAGATGTGCAAGTGGTTAATTCATACATAGTTCCATTAATGTTAATATTATTTTATCATAAGCAAAATTAATTTGCATATGAGTTGAGATTTATATTCTTTTTCCAGTATTAAGTTTCACTCAATGGCAAAAGTTGAGTGCTATTAAAGAAAATAGCAATGGGGATAAACAAAGTATTTTTCTGTTATTTTCTTGGACGATTTTGTATGATTTTTTACCTGACATATAACATTTTTTCCATGCATGTAACATGTTATTTTTATATCAAATGGAGTTTAAAATTCATGTTTCCGGAAGTGTTTATAAAGATGTTATGAAAAATCACTTTGTCTCATAATTAATATTATTTTACCTGAATCACAACATGTAGTAATCTAATATACGTACACTTAAAAGAAAAAGAGAGAGAAAAATGAGATTACTTGGTATATAGATTGGCCTCCTCCCCAAATGAAATCAACGACTCCTTTGATATGACATTGTTGGAAGTAGTGGCGGCCGACTACGTCACCGAGTGTGTCTTGGATACTGAAAAATCCGCAATTGAAGAATGCCGCCTTGTCTGCTGCCAATACAACCGCTGGAGCTATATTCATCTCACCAACCGTTGTTATTGCCTTATCTTGATTATAAGTATTCTGCATCAAATTGTTCAATGTTATCTAGTCATAAATTATTCGCATAAAAAATCCAAATAACCTCATCACTTGTTTCAACATGATAAAACAAACTTTTAAAATTTTAACTATGTGATATCAACATAAAACATTTTTCGACTGGTTATTTATTTGTGCTAACGGTTGTATCGATAATGTATATATCTTGTACTCTATATGATATTCCCTCTGTTTCAAATTACTTGTTGTTCTAGACTTATTTTTAATTTGTTTTGTTTTACTTATCGTTTTATACTTTTAATGTACATATATGATATATTTTTAGTTTTATTCTTACTCTTTTAACTTATTAACTAGTCATATTAAACAAAATAATTTATTAAATAGGGATAAAACAATAAATCTAGTTAGTTTCTTAATCTGCTTGAAAAAAACTCTAGAACAACAGGTAAAAAAATGGAGGAAATATCAGTATATCTGCTTTATAAAGATGTTTCCGATCCGAAATATATGTTTGTAATATATTTGATTAGAGAATTGTGATTTTAACAATTTGGTTAGTTGTTTAAAAAAAAGGTTAGACAATTGTGATTTTAACACACACACAAAAAAAAAAAAAAAAAAAACAAAACTCAACAAAACAACATGTCATTAGTGACTACATGTTGAATTATTGATAGCGACAAAGAATTCGGCTAAATAGAAGATCAATGACTACATGTAGTCATTAGTGAATACATGTTGACTCCGTAGAAGATCAATGATTATATTTAATAGACTGTAGCTAACCTTAAATATTATATTGATAGCGACAAAGAATTCGGCTAACACTCTGAAAGTAGCACTCTCAATGGCATTTCCCGCATCGTTATACTGAATTATTGTTTCTAATGCGGTATTTCCCACAAGTTGTATCTTTGGCTTATCTTGTGGAATTATTATCTTCTCGCTGCATCACCAAGACCACACATAACCATCTAATAGATATGTAAAACATCTAATGAAAGAAAGAACAATAACGTCTAGAGTATACTTACTTGTAGACTCCTTTTCTAATATAAACTTTGATCCACTGGTTGTTGCCGGAGGGAATAGAGTCGATGGCCGATTGTATGGTTCTGAAGTTACCTCTACCAGAATGATCTACCACAATAGTTTTTAGTATCTGGTTGTTGATATCTTTGAGGCTATTATTACCTTCAAAAACATTAGAAACGATATGTGACGACGTAACCGTCGCATACAGAAATGAGAGAGCAAAAACACGTAATAGAGGTTCCATTGCTAAAACAAAAGTTTTCAAAGATCACATGTTTCGAGGGGTAATTCAACAATCTTTTATATTGGTTATACAATGGTACTTTAGTCAATTAAATGGTACTTTAATAATTAAATCTAACTTGATTTCCATTTTAGGAATTAAGGAAAATGGGATATCATTGAATGGGATTGAATGGGATAGTGGCAGTTACATTAATAATTGAATGAGATGAGTAAATGCAGAAAATATATATTTCACCGCAAATGGTAACAGATTAAAAAGGAACAGAGTAGAATGAGTGGTAAGTTTGACTATTTCCATATTATGATTTTTATTCAATTTATTTATATTCCTTTTATTTTTGAACCTTTTTCATTCAGAATGCTTTTTTAGAGGGTTAATAGGAGATGAATTTATGTAGAGTTGATAAATTTTAAAAGTTAAGAGATTTGTTAAATTTATAAAGAGTTTATGTTAGTTTTGGAGAGACTTTGTATATTCAGAAAATCAATCAAAATATTTTATTATAATAGATTTTGAAATCTAAGGAGGGTGTATTAAACTAGGGATTTGGAATGATTTAGAGTGATTTTTTTAGTGAGTTTTTGGATGATTTTGTGTGAATCATAAAAGTTCAAAAGATTTTAGTTAAATCATTCTAAAATCCCATCTAAAACCATGTGATTTGAAGTCTCTTATTTTTAACAAGGAAGTTTCTTAAATCACTCTAAAATCAAATCTATCTTTTAAAATCCTCTTTTAAATCATTTCCATTAGTCCAATAACATTGAATTTTGAATCATTTTTATAAATACTAGATCCAATAAGAGGAGATTTAGAAAAGATTCGAAATCATCCCAAATCATTAGTTCAATAAGATCCAATTTTAAAAGGGTTTTTAGAATTCAAATTTGAATAACAGTGAATTTGTCATTTTAAAACAATTCGTCCTAGATCTCTCCAAATCTCAATTTTCAGTACACCCTCTTAAGGGTTATATGTAGTATTTTAGAAATCTTGTTCCATGAGTTAAATAGTTTAAATCTATATCCTTATTAATGGATTCATGAAATCATTAAAACACAAACTTTTTGAATAACAACTAATTTTGTATGAACTTTAAAAATCACTAATCCAATAACAACATATTTTAATAAGATTGTTAGAATTCATACACTAATAACAAAAGTTTCTGAAAATTTTAATAATTTTATCATCCGTTAATATATCTCATTTTATTCCCACTTATTCCCAATGGAATCACCGGAATAATATTTTTATTTTATTCTGTTTAAATGATACTTTTTCTGTGAGATCTATATAAATGAATTATTCCACATAATTTCATCCCACAAAACACACATCCACGTTTTACTTACCTCCATGGCTCCTCCACCATATCCACTTTAATTTGCAAGTTTTGGTCTGAAAGCGTTTTCCACTAATACAAAGTTTTTAACCAAATGAGACATACATTTAAAAATATCCAAATTATTAAATATTTTACAGAAAATTGAGTATATGGAGTACAAAAATTTGTCTTTCAGTCAATGAATATACTGTCAATTATATCTTCGTAGTCAACATGTAATGTCACTGGTTTTTAGCCGATTATTTTCAGTAAATCGTGATTATATAAGTTATGGATCTCTAACAAATTAATACTTCATACGAAAGTGAAAAAAAATACATAAACGATACTTATAGAACATATTTCTACAACCCTATAGCATCAAGAAGCTCAGAATGCTTAGAAACAGTAACAAGCGAGTTCGCCACAATCGCACCACTAGCAGCCACGGCAGGAACTCCGATCCCGGGAAAGGTCGAGTCACCGCAACACATAAGCTGCGGAATGGGAGTAGAATGGCCAGGAAACGTACCTTTCCCGGCCTCTATCGCAGGCCCATATGTTCCTCTATTCCTCCTGAGAAACCTCTGATGCGTCAACGGCGTTCCCACCATACTCACCTCACACTTCTCCCTCTTAAACCCTGGCCCTAACGCCCTCTCCACCGCTTTCCACATTACCTCGGAACGTTGAGCTTTGAGATTCTTGTACTCGTCACTTCTCCTGTCAAGACCTTCCCAGAGATCAAAAGGTTCCGTGCCTGGCAAGTAAGCATGCAGAACATGTTTCCCCGGGGGTGCGAGGTTCGGGCTAAGAACGCTAGGGACTGATATCAGAACCACATTCTGGTCAGCATCCACACCTCGGTCCCAGTCGTTGACAACAATATGATGAATCTCAAGATCATCTGCTATTCCTTGTTCCTGCTCCATCAAGAAAACAACTCAAAAACATCAAGAAAACACCAAGAAAGCGGATTTTTGCTTCCTCTGTTTTATTTTTATACCTTTGCGTCGAATCCCAAGTGAAGATGCATGAAAGATTCACATTGTGGCGTTTTGTTCACACCCTTAACGTATGAGTCTGGAAGAGCTCCTGGAGGTAAGAGCTTTAACGTGTCCCACATCGATGCGTTGCTCACTACAGCCTTTCTTGCTCGAACAAACTGTAACATTTACATAACAGAATGAGTAATGGTAAAGAGAAAGATTGAAATAAATTATGTAAATGCAAGAACTCTTCTTCATACTTGACCGTTCTTGAGCTTGACTCCAACAGCTTTACCATTCTCTATGACAATGTTTTCAACATGGCTCTTAAGTGACAAACGTCCACCAAACTTCTCCAAGCCACGGACAAGCGCTTCAACCACTGCGCCGGTACCATCGATAGGGTACTCTAACGTGCAGCCTGGCTTGTACCATTCGGCAAACATGTAGATCTACACACATAAGAAGCAAAAGACTTCGTTTTTAACCAAATCTTGCACAAAAGAAATTGATAATCTTGTTTTCTTGTTCCTATTGTTACCATCTCTGCTGAAAGTATGCCATCAGATTTGACACCAGCGAGAAGGAAAGCAAGAAGATCAATCCAGTTTCGAACAAACGGGTCTTTCAACTCCAAAGAATCAACGATCTCCACAAAAGGACGGAGAAGCTTTGTGGCTCCCAATGCTCCTTTAGGTCCCATTTTGATGAAAGATTTCAAGAGTGAAGGAGCATATCTACCAAGAAACAAACACTCATATACAAAAAAACAAAGCACATAGCAAAAGATGAACATAAGGAAGAAGATGATCTTCTGATATAACTACCTAGCAGCAGCTGTGGAGAGAACACCAAGATCTCCACGAATAGACAATGGTGGTAATGCCATAGCAGCAGAAGACAGAGGGAGTATTGCTCCCTGCAGGTTTCATATTCATGTGATTGTTAGAAGATGAAGAGATCATTTTATATTTTGACACATTAAAGGCACACACAAGAAGCTTCTCCCATTCTTGGACTGCGTTAGGGCCTGCATATTTCGCTAGATCCTGAAGAAAAAAAACAAACCTTTACAAGATCAGTGATACATTCTCATACAAACTCATATAAGTAGTCACTGAAACGTGAAGCAAGAATCATAGAGAACTTTCAACAGAGCATCCGAAGTTATTGTCTTTCACCATCATTTGTAATTAGAACACAGCAACATAGCAAGATAAGAGAAAAAATCTTACCTTGAAGAAATCGGTAGGGCCAATGCGTGACAAGAAATCTCCTTCTGGTAAGTAGACCATCCAAGAATCATACTTAGCACATGGAAGTGATTCTCCTAAAGCATCTAAAACCTGAAAACCACAAATCACACCAAGAAACGCATAAAAATCAAAATCAAAAGACAAGACTTTCACAAAGAGTTGAAAGAAGAAAGACATTTTACTTGAGCAAGTGGGTTTGCTTGAGGGCCTCGTGATTGTAACCCTGAAAACAGAGACGGGCCTGAGTCAAATTTGTAACCTTTGACCTCAAAGGAGTGAGCAGCGCCACCGGGAAGGTCGTGGCTTTCGAGGACGAGCACATCTTGATTGTACCTAGCTAACAATGCACCACAACATAATCCACCTATGCCACTTCCAATAACCACAACATCTGCTTCAGGCTCACCTAAAAAACACAAACAACCATACAGTCAAACATGTTATGTTACATTTGTCATTGCTCTCAAAGGTTAAAACTTTCTAAGTTTCATAAGTTAAGGATCTCTCTCAGAAACTGTTCAATTAGACAAAAATACTAAATTTTGTAGTAAAGACACTTTCTACCCAAAATTTCAAGCATTCGACAGATTCTTGCACAAGAATTTTAGATTTTTGTTCACATTACAATTAAGTGGAAACTCATTAAACAAGAAATCTTTGTCATGATTTCAATCAAAGCTCATAAAATCAAACACTTAAAGGTTGAAACTTTCTAAGCTTCATAAGTTAAGGATCTCTCTCAGTAACTGTTCAATTAGACAAAAGTACTAAATTGTGTAGTAAAGACACTTTTTATTCTCAAAGTTCAAGAAACAGAGCAAATCCGTTGCAGCATTTGACAGATTCATGCACAAGATTTTTAAATTTTTGTTCACATAATTAAGTGGAAACTCATTAAACAAAAATTTGTCATGATTTCAATCAAAGCTCAAGTTTTGTTCCTTGCCAGCTTCATCAATTTCACCTGAATTAAGCTACAGAAAACAGAGAAAAATGTGTGAGAGAGAGAGAGAGTGACCAGGGAATGATTTCTTGATGGGAAGATTGCCATTGGATGAGGATGATGAAGAAGACGATCGTATGAAGGGAGATTTGACCGATGCGCGTTTAAAGTTAGAGAGAAACGGTGACTGAAGTGTCCAACCGCAGAAATTGGCGGCCATAGCAGGAGGATAGAGAGAGAGGAGCTATGAGTCTCTGACTCTGTGTGTGGATTTGGCGGGCTCATTGTTCTTGCTTCCGGTGAAGAGAGACTTCTTGATTCTTTACATATCAAAAGAGGTCTTAAAGCAGCCACGTACTTACACCAGCTTTCTTCTCCCTTTCTTTTGTTTTGTTGATTGCTTATTTTATGGCCCATAAATAAGTGGCAGAAAATGTAAAGAGTATGCAACTTAAAATAGTTCTATTTTATTTTCAGATATTCTTTTAAGTTTTAAACAATGACTATCTTTTCAAATTGAGAACCTTTGATATTCAGGAACACAGAATTCTAAATTTTACAAGCAAACAAATCAAAGAACATAAATAAGTTTGAGGAATAAAATTTCTTTTCATAAAAATTGACCTAAAGCTGAAGAACGTAACAATTTCAAGAGAATCATAATGATCAATCAAAAATTACATCGTTTTAAGTATATATATACTTCAAATATCTCTCCAATGCGTGTAATGTATAAACCCATGGTATGGTCTGAATCTGATACACACCTGTCAAATGCCAAAAACATGCTACCTCTCAATCTCATTATCATTGTAGTAAACTGCAAATGTGATCATATTACTTATCAAGAACAAACAAATTGAGAACATACCTCAGAGACATTGTTAAAAGTTTTTTTTTTTGCTTTTCCTTAATCACGAAGGCCTAATTCAACCTCCAATTCATCATCTTCCTCGAAAAGTTTTAAAAGCCGAGCATATTGCTCATCTCTTTTCTTCTTCTGCCACAGTTTGTATAGAAAGAACGAGAATCCCGCCACAGCTCCGAAACCGAGTACTATGAGGATCACTTTTGTGCTTGAAGATGTATGAGATTCAGCTTTTGCTCCAGCACTAGAACTCTTTGAATCACCAGAAACACCTAAAAAATAACATACAAAACAAAATTACATAATTTGAGAGACTTAACAGAGGCTAAGACAATAATCAGCATCAAACATAGCTTAAAATTCTTATAAGTATCGTTTTGTATTCAAAACAGAATCATAACAAAGAAGTCAAAACTGACTCTTAAAAAGACAAAACTGTTCAATGGAATCACGAAAGCTTCAATCTTTTGCTGAATTTGCTAATACCCAACATGTTAAACTTGAAATTACTTGCCTAAATTGCCAATTTCTACGAAACTAAACACAAAATCTTGAATTTTTCGACCTTGAGATCCTTAAAACCATAAGAACAGGGGAAAAAAAGACAAATCTTTCTGTGGAAATCTAGAAAGAGCCCAAGTCAAGCTAAGATTTTCGACCTAAATCTCTAGTATTCATTACCTAATCTCAACAAGATCTCAGTGAATCTAATGCATGAAACCACAAAAAAAAGTAAGGGTTTTTTTTTTTAAATTGAAATCACAGATCTGAGGAAGACGAACCTAAGACGAACTGTAGACAAATCGAAGAGAAGAGAAGAAGATGCGACCATGAAAGATGATCACTCGTCGAGGTCTCTCTCATCTCTCTCTTGGACTTTGATTGTACGCACGCAAGGAAGGACCTCACCGATTCTTCTCCCCGGAGAAGGAAGTTTCAATGTTAATGTGTGTTAGTGTGAGAAAAGGAAAGAAAGTGGAAACGCAAGTGTTTTGCAGTTTGACCCCCCCAAATCTTGTTTCCTTTTGTGTTTTCGACCAAATCTTTATTTGAGACAATTAGGTAAATCATAAATGGCAACAACTTGATTTTTTTTCTTTTGTTAACTATATATATATATATATATATTTTGGCCAATTAGATTACTGTACTTTGCTTATCTATTTTGTTTATATACTTAACTGAAGATTGACGAGATGACTGACCTAATAAAATGTAATCTGGAAATGTTATGATTACAATGTAGTTACAAGCAAATCATACATTTTTTTTTTGTTCAAAGCAAAAAATGTATGAACAGGGAAAAAAAAAGCAATCATACATTTTTATGTTTGTGTTAAAAGACATGTTTTAAAAAAAAGTTAAAGATCAATAAACATAAATAAAAAATATATTCAAAAAAAAATGAAATAATTTTATTTTTTTGAAAATTATGATTAATTTTTCCAAATGTTTGGGACTATCTTTATGATCCAATCTCTCCGAAACAGAGTATCCAAAGTTTTTAGATTCTGATAAGTTTTTTTTTTTTTTTAAAGTTCAAATATATACATTAAAATTTTCACCACTTTTTATTTTACTAATATTAGAGTATTTTACAATAATTATAATAAAGATATTTGAAAATATAAATCCAAAATCGACGTCGACGCTTCGAAGTCCCACTCTATAGTCCTCCACTACTAAAGATCCGCATCAAAACATTCTGATTTGAGTATCAACAAAGTCCCTTCGCAAGTCCATATTGGTCTGCATGGCTTTGATTTATGTTTTTGTTAAGTCCTCTTGCAATATCTCTCACCTTGTTTGGGAATTCTTCATGTCCGAGGTTATTTCTGAAGATGCAGCTCGAAGCAGTTTATATCAATGGGTATATTATGATGAACATATAGCTAAGAGGAGCTGGATGAGCTTAAGGTCCAATGGATCAATTAACTTGGATATGGACTTGGAGATGTCAAGTATGAGGTCAAAAAAGCTTGTAGCTGACGTGGATTAGGAAATTTGAAGCAATTTGAAATATTTCCTTCATGTAAAATGTAAAAACTAAGGAAGAAAATATTATTATCGAGATTTAGAGTGATCTCCAAGAAATCTGAATAAGGGTTTCCAACGCATGACTATTATGTAAATAGGATGTGGTAGGCTGGCAGCTATTTGTAGATAGTTATTCAGAAATTGAGAGTTTTAACATTTTGAGTAGAATTCTTGTAGCATTTTTTCTTTTCCTTTTTTTTCTTTTGGTAAAAAATTCTTGTAGGATAGCTAGGTTAAAAGGGTTAAAGATTGAGATGTTCTTGGGTCATGTAAAGATCCATTGAACGTGAGTGTTACTAAATCAATAAGTCGAGACTATCATGAGCTTATTGATTTGTTTGTTTAAGATCATATTTATAGTAAGTAATCTTGAATAACTTTCTAGTAATATATTTTATTTGTAGAGAAAACTCTTATGTTAGTTGATGTAATATTGCATTTAGTTCCCTTACCTTTTTCAATTTTCCTTAATTCAGGGATCAATTAATGTTATCATATGTACAAAATGGAGAGATGAGGAGAGAGGGATCCAATGTTTTAAACCTGGGGAAGTGTGCCATTTAGCTTAACCATTGATTAGCACATGGGGGACTAAAGTGATGTATCACACATTATCCATTTTGCAGATATTACATAATCCTAATCTAAGCGTTAGTACTTCAAGATATTTTCATGCCCTTGGTTATTACCTTTGTTGCCATAGTTTTGTTCTTGTGATCTTTTTTTTTTACAAGAACGAGAGAACTTGTCAACAATATATTGTTCTTGTAAACTTGGTTTGTGCGCAGTGCATGAAATTTTTGAGCTAGTAGGATGTTGTCCGTTGACCGTTGTTCTTCCATTTACAAAATTCAACTGCAGGTTTAGGGATAATCCTTTCTTAAGAGGCCCTAGAAGTCTTTGAAATCAGTTTATAACTTACGTTAATACGTTGTATAAAGGTCTGTTCTGTCATTTCTTGAGATCTTTCGAATTAGACAAGTCTTTATCGCTTTCAATTTTTTAATCAAATTTTTTAAATGTTAAAGACCTCTTTTACCAAAGAGAATAAAATAAATTAATTCACATTCTCATTGATTGATATAAAATGTATAATTGGGCTAGCTTATATACAGTACCTACCTGATCAAGGTAAAAAAAGTGACCTTAAACCAAGAGAGAGATATACCGGTTTATGTATACAATACCGAAAAACAACTAAAATGCCGAAATGAAAAACTATATACAAGTAGAAACTCTATAAATTAGTAAAGTTGGTATTGATATTTTATTAATTTCAGTTATTAATTAATCATGTTTGACTAAAATATTTGTTTTATTAATAAATAGTTAAAAAAGTAATATGTTTTCAAAATGTTATAAAATTTTCTAAAGTTATATTATAAAATTAGATATAATTTTACAAATTATTTAAAGTTTAACAGCATTATGATATGTTATTTGTTTGTATAAGATTTGTTTATTGGAAGCTATTAATTTGTGATATTAATAGAACTTTACATAGATTTCTTCAAAAAATATTATTTTATTATCTTATTAATTTGTGCTAAAATTTACACTGGCTCACTTTTGAAACCAATTTAATTTATCAAATATTAATCTATAGAGTTTCTAATAATAATAATAATCTATGATGTACATTTTCAAAAATAAGTTTTTTATTGAATAAAAGAATTCTAAATCCTAAAATTTAACCTTAGCTTGAACCCTTAAATCTGAACCCTAAACCCCAAAATCTAAACCATAATTAAGGATTAGTAAACCCAAACATATATATTAATATTAGTAAAAAATGTATTTTTGAAAATTGCCACAATAGATGTAGTTTTGAAAATTTATACATCTGGAGATGTATTTCTCGAAATTTCTCTAACCTCTTTGATGGTTTTGGCACAATCTTTGCCTGTGTCGACCAGGACCTTTTTCAGTAGAGTTTTGTCACCGATCGTATATTTTAAACGAATTTTAGTGGAGAAACTGACCAATGTATGTATTTAATGTCACAACCATTACTTCCTCCTCAATCTAAATAGTGATATTACGGCTGCGACACGTTGCCGAATAGGGCTATTATAATCGACAAATATAGTCCGGTGTAGACTAGCTGCATGGAAACTAGCCAGTTGCGAGTTGGCCATTATTAGTTATGTATACTGTACGTACCCGATTTGGCGATTACATTACTAGTAATCTGAAAGTATGTTATAAACTATAACTTACATTACGTAAACTGATAGGTCTAAGTTCTGTCATTTCTTGAGATCTATCTTTTCTTCACGTTTGCACCCAAAAAAAAAGAATTAGACAAATGTTTATCTACAATGGAACTATAACATGATTTATCTATTATTAGTAACTTATACTGTACCCGACTAAATCATGTGCTATTCAAGTTAGCCCATTACGTTGTTGCTACCACAACGTTCTGCATTAAATTTAGCTACTTTTTTACGCCTATGAGGTTATATATATAGCAAACCAACTTAATTAAGATTCTTGTATCTAACTACACTCATAAATCCTTAGAAAATGGCGATGATAAGCTTACTTGAAGCCTTCATAGCATCCCTTTTCTTCCTTGTATTCCTATGTTTCTTCCTCCACAAGAAATCTCACGGCGGTCCTATTCTCAAGAGCTGGCCGTTCCTCGGGATGCTTCCAGGGATGCTCGTGCAACTCCCTCGTATCTTCGACTGGACCGTCGAGGTTCTTGAGGCCACAAATCTGACGTTTTCTTTCAAAGGGCCATGGTTTAGTGGAACAGACTTGTTGTTCACGGCTGATCCAAAGAATATCCATCACATTCAAAGCAAAAACTTTGGGAATTACCCTAAAGGACCTGAGTTCAAGAAGATCTTTGACGTCCTGGGAGATGGAATCTTAGCCGCTGATCTAGAGTTGTGGGAGGATCTGAGGAAGTCAAGTCACGCCTTATTTCACCATAAAGATTTCGAGAAGCTCTCAGTGAGTAGCAATACAACTAAGTTAAAGGAAGCTCTTGTTCCTTTTCTTGATAATGCTTCTGAGAAGAACATTATCATTGACTTACAAGATGTGTTGCAGAGATTCATGATTGATACTTCTTCGATCCTGATAACTAGCTATGATCCAATGTCTCTATCCATTGAAATGCCAGAAGTTAAATTCAGTGAAGGTGCGGAACCCGGTGAAGAAGCGATATTCTATAGGCATTTTAGACCGGTGATCTTCTGGAAGCTTCAAAACTGGATTGGTGTTGGACTTGAGAGGAAGTTGAAAAATGCTTTTTTCAATTTCGATCAAATGTCTGAGAAGATCGTATCTTCAAGAAGAGAGGAGATACGCCGCGGGAAAAGAGAGGCATCAATGGACGTGTTAACGTATTATATGAATGTTGACACGGCCAAGTATAAGCACTTGCAACCAAGTAATGATAAGTTTATAAGAGATGTTGTTTTGAGTCTATTGTTAGCAGGAAGAGACACCACAAGCTCAGCTCTCACTTGGTTCTTCTGGCTTCTCTCTAAGCATCCTCAAGTTATGACCAAGATCCGACATGAGATCAAGACAAAGTTTGATCCTACAGATCTAGAGAAGCTCGTGTATCTGCATGCTGCCTTGAACGAATCAATGCGACTCTACCCACCAATTCCCTTTAACCACAAGTCTCCTTCAAAGTCAGATGTTCTTCCAAGCGGACACAAAGTTGAAGTAGATGCAAAGATTGTACTCTCTATGTACGCATTGGGGAGGATGAGATCGGTATGGGGAGAAGACGCATCGGATTTCAAACCTGAGAGATGGATTTTAGATAATGGAAGTCTAAGACATGAACCTTCATACAAGTTCATGGCTTTTAGTGCCGGTCCGAGAGCTTGTGTAGGTAAACATTTGGCTCTCTTGCAGATGAAGATGATAGCTGTGGAGGTCATACAAAATTATGATTTTAAGGTCGTCGAAGGTCACAAGATCGAACCAGTACCTTCTGTCATTCTCCGTATGAAGCATGGTCTTCTAGTCACAGTCGATAAGAATATATGATTCTTATGCTTGCTTGGCTTCCACGTCAATCTTCTATCGTTCTCCGTACTACTTGTATTACTAAGTGTTTGTTTCACGAAATTATCAATATTTAAAGTATTAAATAAATTGTAATATGGCATAGGAACTATTTCTCATTATTATACTGTATGAGGAACTACTTGTATTATTAATTGCCTTTTCCTCATTTCCTTGCAAATATAATTTATAAAAAAAATTGTAAAATGTTATTTTATGGTTGAATACTGTAAACGACGTTCAATACATGCAGATTAGTAATTCGGATTCGGGGTCACTTTTTGTGGTAAATCACTCTGAAGATGGCTTCAGGCGGTAGAAATAATATGTTGTGGAGAGCGTCCATGAGAGTACCTCCGACCAAGACCAAAGTCTAATAGTGTTGGGATCTATTCTTGCTAGAGGAATGGACCAAATCTGAGAATTATAAGAGCAGCGAAGGAGAAGATGGTCTCTTGTTTCCTCCTCACTCCCACATAAACAGCAGTCTGCAAAAGTTGACATTCCCCAAGAAGCTAGTCTAGCTCGAGTAGGTAGTCTATTGATGCGAAATCCACATGTTGAAAGCATGCTTAGGTGCCGAACCCTTGAACCAAACGGAAGAGCTCCATCGCTTTTCCTATGCCCGTGGCCGCCTCAAAGCATCCTAAGTCCTTGAGGAACTAAACCCAACAAGTCAAGATGTGTCTTGAGCTTGTTGTGTTTCGTTTGAGATTTTAAATTGTAAGTTATCTTTAAGAATATTTTATAGTAGTATTTCTTTGTAGAGAAATCGTGTGTTAAGTCTCGTACTATTATAGGTACTGCATGATTCAATATGGTCAATAGCTCTCGCACTTACACATCCACTCTTCGCTCCCAATCTAGTAGGAGTAATCCAAATAAAATACGCTCCAAGAGAATGGTGTTTTGAACTTCCTCCTTCTCCGTGGAACACAATGATCTTCTTCTTTCCATTGACTACCAAAAACTTAGTACAATTTTCTTCAGATCCCTTTAGTACAAAAGTCTTGAAATTGTTTTTTTTTATTTTTTTTATTGAAGTCCTTGTATACCTTCAACAAATTCAAACTGCAAATAATGTTTAAGAAAAAAAAGTCAACATTATCCACACAAGCTCAGATAAAGGGAAGTGCCGGCTTAAGTCCATTTATCTTTATATTGATCAGTCCTCTTAAGATATCTCTTGGAAAACTTTTATGTCCGAGATTATTCAACCATTCACCACTTAACTCAGAGATCAATTTCGTATAAAAACTTCAAGTATATTGTAGACGTCTTTGATGGTATTCACAAAATATTAGCCTAGTGGCCCTAGTCTGTCGACCATAATCGATCTTTTATAGTAGAGTTTTGTTAGCGATAGTATAATTCTTTCCGGAATATAGTGGAGAAAAATGACCTAAGTATTTAATGTCACAACCATTACCAAATCTTGAATTTAAATAGTGATATTACGGTTGCAACACGTTGCCGAATAGGCTATTAGTTATAATGGACAAATTGTCTTCTGTAATCTGCATTGGAACTAGCATGATTTGGCAATTATTCGTAAATCATACGTACTGTACCAGACTAAATTGTACTGTACCAGACGAAATTGTACTGTACCCGACTAAATCATGTGGCATTCAAGTTAACCCACTACGTTGTTGCTGCCGCAACGTTCCCCTTTCTATTGAGTATTATTTCTAAGAGGTTATATACTTATATATATAGAAAACCAGTTTCACTAAAATTCTTGTATCTCTACTCATAAATCCTTTGAAAATGGCGATGATAAGCTTACTTGAAGCCTTCATAGCATTACTTTTCTTCCTTGTATTCCCATGTTACTTCCTCCACAAGAAATCTCACGGCGGTCCTATTCTCAAGAGCTGGCCATTCCTCAGGATGCTTCCAGGGATGCTCGTCCAAATCCCTCGTATCTTCGACTGGACCGTCGACGTTCTTGAGGCCACAAATCTAACGTTTTCTTTCAAAGGGCCATGGTTTAGTGGAACAGACTTGTTGTTCACGGCTGATCCAAAGAACATCCATCATATTCTAAGCACAAACTTTGGGAATTACCCAAAGGGTCCTGAATTCAAGAAGATCTTTGATGTTTTGGGAGATGGAATCTTAGCCGCTGATCTGGAGTTGTGGGAGGATCTGAGGAAGTCAAGCCACGCCTTATTTCACCACCAAGATATCGAGAAGCTCTCAGTGAGTAGCAATACAAGTAAGTTAAAGGAAGGTCTTGTTCATTTTCTTGATAATGCTTCTGAGAAGAACATTATCATAGACTTACAAGATGTGTTGCAGAGATTCATGTTTGATACTTCTTCCATTTTGATGACTGGTTATGATCCAATGTCTCTATCCGTCGAAATGCCAGAAGTGGAATTCGGTGAAGCTGCGGATCTCGGTGAAGAAGCGATCTTCTACAGACATTTCAAACCAGTGATCTTGTGGAAGTTTCAAAACTGGATTGGTGTTGGTCTTGAGAAGAAGATGAGAACTTCTTTAGTCACTGTCAATCAAATGCTTGCGAAGATCATATCTTCAAGAAGAGAGGAGATACGCCAACGGAAAAGAGATGCATCAATGGACGCGTTAACGTATTATATGAATGTGGACACGACCAAATATAAGCTCTTGCAACCAAGTAATGATAAGTTTATAAGAGACGTTGTTCTAAGTTTATTGTTAGCAGGACGGGACACCACAAGCTCAGCTCTCACTTGGTTCTTCTGGCTTCTCTCTAAGCATCCTCAAGTTATGACCAAGATCCGTCATGAGATCAACACAAAGTTTGATCCTACAGATCTAGAGAATAACTCGTGTATCTGCATGCTGCCTTGTTCGAATCAATGCGACTCTACCCACCAGTTCCCTTAAACCACAAGTCTCCTTTAAAGTCAGATGTTCTTCCAAGCGGTCACAAAGTTGAAGCAGATGCAAAGATCTTAATCTCTATTTACGCATTGGGGAGGATGAGATCGGTATGGGGAGAAGACGCATCGGATTTCAAACCAGAGAGATGGATTTTAGATAATGGAAGTCTAAGACATGAACCTTCATACAAGTTCATGGCTTTCAATGCCGGTCCAAGAGCTTGCTTAGGTAAACATTTGGCTATGTTGCAGATGAAGATAATAGCTGTGGAGGTCATACAAAAATATGATTTTAAGGTCGTCGAAGGTCACAAGATCGAACCAGTACCTTCTGTTATTCTCCGTATGAAGCATGGTCTTAAAGTCACAGTCGGTAAGAACATATGATTGTAAAGCTTGCTTGGCTACTACGGCAGCTTTCACAGTCACTTATTATGATCACTACTACTTGTATTACTAAATGTTTGTTTCGCTTCCTCGCAAATTCATATTAAAATTATTAAATTAAATTAATAATAAGTGTATTACTTGTATTATTTCAATAGCAACCTATGCAGCTTTTTATGTATAAATATTCTAGTGTGTTTATCATTAAATAGCTTAAAAACTCAAAACAATGTTTAAACTGAAAAGTATGAAGAATATTTCTCACTAAGTTGAAAATAGGGTTCAAAGAAAATTTATGTCGAGTTGGGTTAGGTCTGGAATGAATTGTATCAGGTTTGGGTATAATTTTTTGTTTGTTTGTTAGTGATATCTTTTTAGTAAAACCGGCATAACTTTCGAGACCCAGGTCTGAATGACTTTAAACTGCAACCAAACTGGATCAACACTTTAGCTTGACTAAAAAGCCAGAATCAACCATATGGTCATGTTAGCATTGTAACTGAGATGTGATAGGGGATATTCATGACTTAGTTGAAATTTTCTTTATGGTATATGTTGCACTTGCTTCGATAGATAAAGCATTCTCACCAAACTCTCTGTAGCAGCATGTTACGTTCGTAGCTAGCTGCCTAGCTCTGCATCTAATGATGTTTAATATCGACAAATTCGTAATGAATGTGGGCTGGGGCTATGTTTGCATCAAAAGTAAATAATTTGTAAAGTTAGGTCACCGTCTAACTTCAAAACCTCTAGAAAGATATATATCTTTACAGTTTCCAAATATGGAAGAAGAAGAAAAACTGTTCAAAGGGTAAGGGGACTGTGGATTAGACAGATGTTTGTCGTGATATCTTTACAGTTTCCAAATATCTCAAGATCTATCTCTCTATTTGAAATTAGACATATGTTTTTCGTGCTAAATTCCAATTATTCAAGAAGGTCTTTTACTTAGCAAGAATCTACAATCTACAATGAATCAATGATTCAAAGAAATCAATTGAGATCTGCTAACTCGACCAAGAGATTTGACAAAATCTTCGCTTGGGATCTGTTTAGATCTACCGAAAACAAGGATAGAGAATACTATTCTCTCAAAAGCCAAAGCTCTTTATTAAAAATCAATAACTCAATACAACAATAACAGCTAATTTATAATAAATCTCAAATTAAGAAAATCCTAAAACCATAATAAGTAAATATCTAAATTAATAGAATAACTAATATAAATATTTGAATAATTATAATCCTGCATCACATTTGTTTTGGTATTTATTTTGAGTTTTTTTGCCCATCGAGAATCAAAGTGGAATATGATAATCTTTGAACTCTTACCAACTCTTACAATCACCTTAAACCAAAAAAAAATAATAATAATAAAAAAAAAAAAGAAAAAAGAAAGTGGAATAGGTTTGTTTTAAAGGAAAAAATTACATTAAGAGGGACTTTTTCACTTTCATATAACATTAAGAGTGACTTTGTTTTTTACACTTTACCTCTATATTTTTTACTCTATTGTCCTTGCTACCGATTCTTTTCCTAACAGTAGACAAAACATCTATTCCAATTCAACAGGTTCAAAGGTGGACACATTTTTTCTGGATACCTTTGTTTTAGTCATGGATGCTTCATTGTTGTGGATGTTTTATTAATGGACGCTTCATGGTGGATACCTTTGTTTTATTCATGGATGCTTTTATCTATCTATTTGGATGCTCTTGATGTAAATAACTCGGCTTGATCCACTCACGTTGTGGCAAAAACTGTACAACAAAACTGTCCACCGCAGCCAAACTTATAAAATCGGGAATGTCATCATCCATACAGACTGTTAGAATCTTGATTTAGAAACAGAGAGAGAAAGAAAAAAGACAAAACAGAGTAAGAGATAAAGAGTTTATCTCTTTTCTTTCGAAGAAGAATATTAACGAGGAATTAGATTTTATTAATCTGAAACTTGATTTGTTTACATTACAACAATATAGGTTTATATAGATAATGAACAGACACAATAACACAAGAGTTGTGTCTCTTCATACTTGTGTCTCTTTACTAAACCTATCACAACCTAACTGTTAAACGGTTACTAAAAGAGATCAAGTGTTAGAACAAACTCAATTATATTCCAACACAGACCCACGAGTTCTTAATTATCTCGTTGTGGATAATATAGATATGGATGCTTTTTAAGTTTTCTGTCCTTTGCTTTTCTTTATCCATGCATTTGTGTCCATACCATTGAAACACTATGCAATTTTTAGCTTTTCCATCAATTAGAATTAGATTTAGGCTTCTATAGTCTCTCTTAACTTAATCAAGCTCTTATTCATTTTAAATTGATTCAAGCACGCTTTGCTATTGTTTAAGTTTGTCTTTTGGACATCATCGTTTAAGTTTTAATTGAAATCTATGTTGAGTTGTTGACCAATAATGAAAAAAAACTATGAATCTGCAGGTTTTAGTTCTATCCAATGTATCCATTTTTTTGGACAGATTCAGAGGTGAAAACAGAACGTATAACACCCAGGAAATGAAGAGTATTGTTTTGGCTTTGCCTGTTTCTAATAGAAGTGTTGCTCTTATGATGTAAAGACATATTCTGATTATCAATTTCTTCATGATTATGCTATATTAGGACAAAGTCACAGAGAATGGCTATTTAATAAGAATCATCCACAGTTATAGCATCCAAACTTTGTATTCTACACTAAAAACAAACCTAAGCGTACATGGTCATCAATCGTCCAAGAACACGTTGAGCTATAATAAAAACCAGAAACAAAGATTCAGTTACCTTCTTACAAGAGAAAAAAAAATCTAAAAAAATAAGTTTAAAAAAAACTCTAGCTCAGTCCGAATCAGATGAGAAAACGCTTGTCATATAAAACAAAATCTGTATATGTCCGAAAATTGTGTCTGTTAAGATACCAACTGATATTAGTCTCTTAACAAAGAATTACAACCCCCAAAGTAACGGAGGCTCTCCGATAACAGTCGACGGCCAACTTGATCGGAAGACAAGCCTTCACGATCACCGAATTGCAGAGAGAGATCTCTCTCAAACACCCACACAGTTCCTCTGGTTTTTTCGATAAAGCTACAAGATGCTAAAATGAATCTATTTATCTTTTTCGAATCTCTATCTGCAAGCTCTCTTCCTCCTTTCTTCTCATTGGTCCACGTCAGCTTCATCACTTATCACTGTCCGCTCTGTATCTGATTTGTGTGCGATCTTTACCTGTTTTATTTTCATTAAGCGTATAATGAAATCAGGGCCGGCCCTGAAATTTAGGGGGCTCGAGCCAAAAAAATAGGGATTTGTAGATATATTTTTGAAAATGAGAACAAATGGTAGATGTTTACAAACTTGGGGCTACTTATTAGAAATAAAATAAAATTCTGGGGCCAATTTTTAACACTAATAACAAAAAGAAAAAATTAGGGCCAAGACAATTGTTTTACAAGGCTGTGTACAGGGCCAGCCCTGAATGAAATATTACAAACACTATATTCCAGAAAAAAGTGCACCTCTGAACAAAAGTCCCTCTTTTTGTAAAGAGAACTCAAAAAGTCACAAGAGTGTAAATCACTAGTTTTAAAGGAAAAACGAGCCTGTGCCAAAAAGGCAATTGAAGATGTAAAAATAGTGCATAAGCGTAAGAAGTTAGATACTATACTAAGCTGAAATTTGAACACAATATTTCCACTTTAATCAGCTTTTAGCTTTGACCCGGCTCAAACTTTTCCGATTTAACTGTTAACATTGTTTTGAGATTTTAAGCTACTTAACACACTTGAATATTTATATACTCCATAGCTTGCTTGGAAAATAATACAAGTTTCACAGTTATTTGACAATTTATTTATTACTTTTGAAATTATATTTGCGGGGAACAAGAACTAAGCAATACAAGTAGTACGTACTATGTAATTGTGAAAGTTACCAAAGAAGCCAAGCAAGCATAAGAATCACATCTTCTTAGTGACTGTGACTTTAAGACCATGTTTCATACGGAGGATGACTGAAGGTACTGGTTCGATCTTGTGACCTTCGACGATCTTAAAATCATAATTTTGTATGACCTCCACAGCTATCATCTTCATCTGCAAGAGAGCCAAATGTTTACCTACACAAGCTCTCCGACCGGCACTAAAAGCCATGAACTTGTATGAAGGTTCATGTTTTAGACTTCCATTATCTAAAATCCATCTCTCTGGTTTGAAATCTGATGCGTCTTCTCCCCATACAGATCTCATTCTCCCCAATGCATACATAGAGATTATGATCTTTGCATTTGCTTCAACTTTGTGTCCACTTGGAAGAACATCTGAGTTTGAAGGAGACTTGTGGTTTAAGGGAGCTGGTGGGTAGAGTCGCATTGATTCCAACAATGCAGCATGCAGATACACGAGCTTCTCTAGATCTGTAGGATCAAACTTTGTGTTGATCTCATACCGGATCTTGGTCATAACTTGAGGATGCTTAGAGAGAAGCCAGAAGAACCAAGTGAGAGCTGAGCTTGTGGTGTCTCTTCCTGCTAACAATAGACTCAAGGCAACATCTCTTATAAACTTATCATTACTTGGTTGCAAGTGCTTATATTTGGTTGTGTCCACATTCATGTAGTACGTTGACGCGTCCATTGATGTCTCTCTTTTCCCCCGGCGTATCTCCTCTCTTCTTGAAGGTATGATCTTCTCAGACAATTTGATTGAAACTGAAAAAAGAATTTTTCATCTTCCTCTCAAGTCCAACACCAATCCAGTTTTGAAGCCTCCACAACATCACCGGTTTGAAATGTCTATAATAGATGGCTTCTTCAGCGAGATCCGCTGCTTCACCGAACTCCGCTGCTTCACCGTACTCAACTTCCGGCGTTTCAATTGATAGAGACATTGGATCATAACCAATCATCAAAATCGAAGAAGTATCAGACATGAATCTATGCAACAAATCTTGCAAGTCTATGATAATGTTTTTCGCAGCAGCATTATCAAGAAAAGGAACAAGACCTTCCTTTAGCTTACTTGTATTGGTACTTACTGAGAGCTTCTCGAAATCTTGATGGTGAAATAAGGCGTGACTTGACTTCCTCAGATCCTCCCACAACTCCAGATCAGCGGCTAAGATTCCATCTCCCAAAACATCAAAGATCTTCTTGAACTCAGGCCCTTTAGGGTAATTCCCAAAGTTTGTGCTTAGAATGTGATGGATATTCTTTGGATCAGCCGTGAACAACAAGTCTGTTCCACTAAACCATGGCCCTTTGAACGAAAACGTCAGATTTGTGGCCTCAAGAACCTCGGCGGTCCAGTCGAAGATACGAGGGAGTTGGACGAGCATCCCTGGAAGCATCCCGAGGAACGGCCAGCTCTTGAGAATAGGACCGCCGTGAGATTTCTTGTGGAGGAAGAAATATAGGAATACAAGGAAGAAAAGGGATGCTATGAAGGCTTCAAGTAAGCTTATCATCGCCATTTGCTAAAGATTTATGAGTTTAGATACAAGAATCTTAGTTAAGTTGGTTTGCTATATATATATAACCTCGTAAAAGTAAAAAAGTAGCTAAAATTAATGCAGAACGTAGTGGTAGCAACAACGTAGTGGGTTAACTTGAATGCCAAGTGATTTAGTCGGGTAATGCATAAGTTACTAATGATAGCTAAATCATGCTAGTTCCATTGTAGAGTAGTACACCGGACTATATTTGTCCATTATAATATCTCTAATTAAATGAAAGCGTTTTAGTTACGGCTGTGGTAGTAATGGGTCTAACGTTAACGCTATGTCCTATCGTTACTACAAAAGATTCTACAAACAATTCCACTAAAATACGTTGGCCATTTTTTTTTTCCACTAAAATCCGGAAAATATATCATGGCTGACAACACTCGACACAAAGAATCTGATCGACACACTACGCAAAGATTTTGCCAACTACCGAAGAATTCTTCAATACGTGAAGTTAATTTGATACGGAATTAAATGCGATAAACATTTGTCTAATTCGAAGGAAAGATAGATCGCAAGAAATGAAAAAACTTAGACCTATCAGTTTACGTACGCAATATAAGTTATTATACATCATTTCAAAGATTATTTTATCCTGGTTGAAAGAAAGGAATCGCGACTTTTGTAGATGGTAGATTAATAACGGACAACATCCTGATAGTTCAAGGAAATACAAATGAGAAATTTTAAAAAATACATCTTGTGAGGTGCAAATTTTCAAAACTACACGTATAGTGTGAAAAATTTACTTATAGTATGAAAATTTTCAAAAATACATCTTTTCCTAATTTCAATATATTTGTTTGGGTTCACTAATCCTAGATTAGAGTTTAGTTTTTAGGGTTTAGGGTTTAGATTTAAGGGTTCAATGTTAGATTTTAGGGTTTTGGGTTTATGTTTTAGGGTTCAATACGAATAACTTACGTCATAGGAAATTGATAATTTTTTATTAGTTATTTAGTACTTATTAATAATATCGATATAAGAAAATACCTCTAATTTATACATAAAACATTATGTTTGAGTTTCTGTTTCCCAAACTAGGGTTTAAATGTTTTGGTTTAAGGTATATATTTTTGGCTTTAGGATTTAGAAGATGTTTAGACTTAGGGTTTAAATTTTCGGGATAATTATTTATTTATTTAAATTAAGTTTAATTTTAGTCCACTTTGGTCATAAATTTTTATCATGCCATTTTGGTTGTCATACCTATAGTTTGAGTACTATAAGTAAATTTTTGAAAAATTTCACACTATAAGTAGATTGAGTACCCCAATTACCCCAATTTTATTAAACCCAATGGTGGAGAAAGATAAACTCTATGAACATTCTCAAGTATTTTAAGTAAAATCAGTTTGTTTGTGAGCTACTCGAAGAGGTTTATTTTGATGAACTTGAAGGTTGTTTGGTTGAAGGAAAAGAGAGATTTGTTTACAAATTTTATAAGACATTGTATGGGATAAAACAAGATCCTAGAGCCTGGTACAACAAGACTAGTTCATTTTATGCATAATCTGGTTTTGAGAGAAGCAGAAGCGTGGAAAGCATTGACATGGATGTTAATAAGAAGTTGCAGATGGATGTTTGAACAGGAAAAACTGATGCAACAAGATTCATATGCTAGAGGTTGGCCGGCGCAAACGGGGGTAATAAATGATTGTATTATGTTGTATACTGTTTTTTTCTCCTTTTTTTGTTATTTTATATTCCTATGACGTACTTGTTTAGTTATTTGTATTTCCTTGAACTATCAGGTATGGTCCATCTACAAAAGTCGCTTGAATCTCTTGTATCAGGTCTGCCATTACTTTTTTTTTTAAGGATAAAATAATATTCGAAATGATGTAATAACTTTCATTACGTAAGCTGATAGGTCTAAGTGCTGTCATTTCTTGAGATCTATCTTTCATCCGAATTACACAAATGTTTATTGCATTCAATTTGGCATCAAAACTTCAAGTATTGAAGACTTCTTCGATAGTTGGCAAAATCTTTGCGTAGTGTGTCGACCAGAATCTATTGTAGTAGAGTATTATAAGCCATAACGTTACAACCATTACTACCACAGCCGTAACTAAAACGCTTTCATTTAATTAGAGATATTATAATGGACAAATATAACTTATAGCATGATTTAGCTATTATTAGTAACTTATACTGTACCCGACTAAATAATGGGGCATTCAAGTTAACCCATTACGTTGTTGCTACCACAACGTTCTGCATTAATTTTAGCTACATTTTTACTTCTACGATGTTATATATGTAGCGAACCACCTTAACTAAGATTCTTGTATCTAAACTCATAAAATCTTTAGCAAATGGCGATGATAAGCTTACTTGAAGCCTTTGTACCATCCCTTTTCTTCCTTGTATTCCTATGTTTCTTTCTCCACAAGAAATCTCCCGGCGGTCCTATTCTCAAGAGCTGGCCGTTCCTCGGGATGCTTCCAGGAATACTCGTCCAAAGCCCTCGTATCTTCGACTGGACCGTCGAGGTTCTTGAGGCCACAAATCTGACGTTTTCGTTCAAAGGGCCATGGTTTAGTGGATCAGACTTGTTGCTCACGGCTGATCCAAAGAATATCCATCACATTCTAAGCAAAAAATTTGGGGATTACCCTAAAGGACCTGAGTTCAAGAAGATCTTTGATGGTTTGGGAGATGGAATCTTAGCTGCTGATCTGGAGTTGTGGGAGGATCTAAGGAAGTCAAATCACGCCTTATTTCACCATCAAAATTTCCAGAATTTTTTAGTGAGTAGCAATACAAGTAAGTTAAAGGAAGGTCTTGTTCCTTTTCTTGATAATGCTTCTGAGAAGAACATTATCATAGACTTACAAGATGTGTTGCAGAGGTTCATGTTTGATACTTCTTCGCTCCTGATGACTGGCTATGATCCAATGTCTCTATCCATCGAAATGCCAGAAGTTGAATTCGGTGGAGCCGAGGATCTCGGTGAAGGTGCGGATCTCGGTGAAGAAGCGTTATTCTATAGACATATTATACCGGTGATCTTCTGGAAGCTTCAAAACTGGATTGGTGTTGGACTTGAGAGGAAGTTGAAAAATGCTTTTTTCAAGTTCGATCAAATGTCTGAGATGATCATATCTTCAAGAAGAGAGGAGATACGCCGCGGGAAAAGAGAGGCATCAATGGACGCGTTAACGTATTATACGAATGTTGACACGGCCAAGTATAAGCACTTGCAACCAAGTAATGATAAGTTTATAAGAGATGTTGTTTTGAGTCTATTGTTAGCAGGAAGAGACACCACAAGCTCAGTTCTCACTTGGTTCTTCTGGCTTCTCTCTAAGCATCCTCAAGTTATGACCAACATCCGACATGAGATCAAGACAAAGTGTGATCCTACAGATCTAGAGAAGCTCGTGTATCTGCATGCTGCCTTGAACGAATCAATGCGACTCTACCCACCAATTCCCTTTAACCACAAGTCTCCTTCAAAGTCAGATGTTCTTCCAAGCGGACACAAAGTTGAAGTAGATGCAAAGATTGTACTCTCTATGTACGCATTGGGGAGGATGAGATCGGTATGGGGAGAAGACGCATCGGATTTCAAACCTGAGAGATGGATTTTAGATAATGGAAGTCTAAGACATGAACCTTCATACAAGTTCATGGCTTTTAGTGCCGGTCCGAGAGCTTGTGTAGGTAAACATTTGGCTCTCTTGCAGATGAAGATGATAGCTGTGGAGGTCATTCAAAGTTATGATTTTAAGGTCGTCCAAGGTCACAAGATCGAACCAGTACCTTCTATCATTCTCCGTATGAAACATGGTCTTCAAGTCACAGTCACTAAGAAGATGTGATTCTTATGCTTGCTTGGCTCTCACGTCAATCTTAGTGAGTTCAGCAGGTCAACCCTAAAAAGATCCGTCGATTTTGTAAGAGCATCTGCATTAGTGATACTCATCACAAGCTCTATAATATATTAAAAAACTAACATTTTAAAAAAGAAAACGAAATTCAAAGAAAATTAATAAATGGGCTAATCAAGTGAAGACAGGTGTAGAGTTCCTCTTGAGATAGTCTCTTCCAGTCCTCCGAACAAAGTCGGTTCTGCTACTTTTCCTTGCCACCTCATTTTAATTTCATTTTTTTCTTTTTCTTTTTTGTGTCAGAATCTATAAGAGTATATGCAATGCGGGTGCTCTAAGGGTTACACCGACTTTTCCAATTGGCCAAATCCATGAGAGCAGTTTTAAATGTATGGCACTATGGCTATTCGTTGAATTATGGAACCCATTTGTTAACCCTTTTTTTTTTTCCCACAAAAATCTTAAATGACTTATCTTAGAGCACATACAGTATAAAATCTATAAATTAATAATGTGGAAACTTTAATATTTTATTAATTTATAGAGTTATTAATATTGTATATATATTTTGACTAAAATTATTTTTCAAAAAAGAAAATTCAATTTTAAATTAGAAGTATCCTTTATATGTATATTTTCTTAACTTTTTTTCTGATATTTCTATATTTAACCTATTGTTCACATTTTCTCATAGTTCCCATATTATTTAAAATTTCTTTTTTGCTTTTGATTTCCATATCTGTTTGGTATGTGAGAGATTCATATTTTAGTATTTAAATATTTTAGATGTATATATATATAAATAAAAATAATTATTAATTTATGATATTATTGGGACCATATTTTATATAGGAGTTCAAAAAAAGTTATTATCTTATTATCTTATCGAATTATGTCATATTTTACACCAACCCAACTCGGGACCAGAGAAATTTATTAATTTATCGTGTTTATTAATTTATCGAGTATTAATTTATGGGTGATTGTGGATCGGTTGACTAAGTCCGCACATTTCTTGGCCATCAAGAAGACAGATGGAGCTGCTGTCTTGGCTAGGAAGTTTGTGCGAGAGATTGTGAGGCTGCATGGAGTGCCAGCTAGTATTGTGTCAGACCGTGATCCCAGATTCACTTCAGAGTTTTGGAGAGCGTTTCAGGCAGAGATGGGCACTAAGGTGCATCTGAGTACAGCTTATCATCCGCAGACAGATGGTCAGTCAGAGAGGACTATTCAGACTTTGGAGGATTTGCTGAGGATGTGTGTGTTGGATTGGGGTGGCCATTGGGCAGATCACCTGAGCTTAGTTGAGTTTGCATACAACAACAGCTTTCAGGCGAGTATTGGCATGGCTCCATTTGAGGCTTTGTATGGGAGGCCATGTAGGACACCCCTATGCTGGACCCAAGTGGGGGAGCGCAGCATGTATGGAGCTACTTATGTTCAGGAGACGACAGAGAAGGTTCGTGTTGTGAGGCTGAACATGAAGGAGGCTCAGGATAGGCAGAAGAGTTATGCAGATAGACGCAGACGAGAGCTTGAGTTTCAGGTTGGAGATAGAGTTTATCTCAAGATGGCTATGTTGAGGGGTCCTAACAGATCCATAGCAGAGAACAAGCTGAGTCCGCGTTTTATGGGTCCGTTTCCAGTAGTGGAGCGAGTTGGGCCATTGGCTTACAGGCTGGAGTTGCCTGAGATTATGAAAGCCTTTCACAAGGTTTTTCATGTGTCGATGCTGAGGAAGTGTCTTCACCCTACAGAGGAGTTAGTGGCTAGGATTCCAGAGGATCTTCAGCCAGATTTGACAGTGCCGGCAGTGCCTGTGAGGATTTTAGAGAGGAGGGAAAAGGTTCTGAGGAACAAGAGGATTCCCTTACTGAGGATTTTGTGGGATTGCAGTGGTTCTACAGAGGAGACTTGGGAGCCAGAGGCAAAGATGAAGTTGAAGTTCAGGAAGTGGTTCGACAAGCAGGTCGAGGAGTGAGCTTATTTCATCTTTGTAGCCTCAGTTGTTATTTTTGGCTTTGGTGTTATTGTATTTTCGTTTTCGTTGTAACGATATACATTTTGGAGTTTTAATGAGATGCAGTTTTTCCTCATTTTGCCTTGTGTTGTGAAATGGTATTCGGATGTTACACATGTTTGACCAGTTTTTGGTTGTGAGACGGTCTAATCTTATGGTTATAGACATTTTCCGGAATTTTTACTCTAAGGATTGCGATCCTGAATAACTCATCATGTTTTTGGAGACTTCGTTCTCTGGCAGACTCTCTGGGTGCAAGTAGGCCTCAGTTGAGTGTAGCTTATCTGGGTGCAAGTAGGCCTCAGTATAAGCAGTTTAGTTCATCTGGGTGCAAGTGGGCCTCAGTATGGACGTTTTCGGGTTCGTCTGGGTGCAAGTGGGCCTCAGTGCGGACCGGTGTGGACTTGTCTGGGTGCAAGTGGGCCTCAGTACAAGTGTTTGGTGTGTTTGGATGATGAGTTAGGAGTGAAATTTTCTTGGAACGTGTTTATGACATAAGATATGACGTTTGTCTCGGGGATCAAGTGAGGATCTCCGGTGTTGCGGCCTTGCGAGGTGGGTTTTGTGGTCTTTGTGACGTTTGCGTTGGGATTCGAGGACGAATCCAGTTTAGTGGGGGAGAGTTGTAACATCCATAAACCAAAAATTGGGAATTTTGTCGGTTCAATTTAAGTGAATTGGTTTGGGTCGGTTTAGTGGAGAAAGCCCTAAAATCAAGTTTAAAGAGTGCAGCCGTCTTCTCTTTGGAGAATTTTCGAGTTCAGATGCAGAGAGGAGAAAAGTTGAGTTTTTGGAGAGATTTTCGTTTTACTGTTCATCGGGTACTGTTCATCGGGTACTGTTCATCGGTACTGTTCATCGGGTACTGTTCATCGCGATTCGGCACTGTTCATTGTCTTTTTTTCCTTCAGTTTCAATCATTGTCAAGGTGAGTGCATGACTGTGGGTCCGCGATTTGCTAGATTAGATTTGGTTTGTGGTTGTTCTTGATGAGTTTATGTGTTTAATTGTTATTTCATGATATTTTGGTTGTTTTGTGATGAATTGTGTGTTTGTGTGGTTTAATCTGGTTTAATTGAATTTAATTGATTTAATTGGTTTATTTGGTTTAATTGAATTTAATTGATTTATTTGTTAATTTAATTTAATTAATTGATTTAATTGGTTTATCTTGGTTTAAATTGATTTATTTAATTGGTTAATTGAATTAAAATGTTTTAATTTAATTTTTGATTTATTTTCGGATTTATTAATTAAATATTAATTGAATTAATTAATTATTTAAAATAATTATATTAATTATTTTAATATGAGAAATTATTTTTAATTATTAAATTATTTAATAATTGGAAAATGGTATTTAATAATTATTGGAGTTTATAAATATTATTAAATATCTAGTAAATTGCGTAAATGGCTCGTAGGCAGAGTGATTGCCTCACTAAGTATTTATTAAATACTTACGCAACTCCATTCCAATGTGTTGCAGGTAAAAGATTTGTGTGATCGCGGAATCAAGGCTGAAGAGGGGATGATAGGATGTTTATTGCTTTTATTTATTTTGCATTGTTTTGTGTTGGGTGAAATAAATTCACTAGCCGGTCGCTCCTTAAACTCTATTACAAGCTGGAGATATGATCGACTGACGACCATGATGACCACCGGTCGATCTTACTTCTTAGCATCGACATGAAGAGGCAGCGACCAACGATGTTAATTAATGGTTTAGCAATGACCATGGTTTGTACAATTTCCTAAATCTATTAGAGTTGTGCAGAGACCGACGTGCATATCTAATTAAAAGGAAATTAGGAATGACGACCGACGTAGGAAATGGAATATTACGACGACGTCAAAGCCCAACTCAACAAGGATTAGGATCGACAAGCACCTATAAATAAGAGGTCCCATAACAAGGACAAGGGGACATTCAGAAAAACACACAAAAACCCTAATAGCTACTTGTTCTTCGCCTCTCGACGAGCAAGCGACGAACAACCTAGATACGACGAACTACGATCTACGACGAGCGACAGACGAGATTCTCTTAGTTTAATCTTTGATATTGACTTGTTGTAGCTCGATATTCAATTGATTAATAAGATATCTTCTCCTGCGTCATTCCGTTTATTGTACTTGCGAACCGGTTAAATTTTGCCCAAACAGTTTGGCGCTAGAAGGAGGGGCAATTTTAACTGCGTGAGACATGGCGGCGGGAGATGATACCGCACCGACCGAAACACCGACCGTCACCGTTGCTCAGCTGGAGGCTCTCACAGCTCAGATGAAGCAGAACGAAGAACGACTTGCGCAAATCCAGGCGGAGAACGCAACCCTACGAGCAGAAAACGCGTCATTGGCTCAGGCTCGCAATAGATATCGAGACCGGTCCCTCCTATGCAATCGTTCGACACTCCACCACTTACGGGTGCAACAGGAGCAGCCCTAGGAACAGGAGCTACCGACGCTGCGCAAGGTAACCAAACATTGGTTCCACCCCTTGCACCAACGATGGAACATCAATCTGAAGACTCGCATACTATGTTCTCAAAGCGATTGGAGGCTATGGAGCTCTTGCTCGCGCGACTTCCAGGAGTAGCTCCTCCAATCACCAAAAGTGCTCCTAATTGCTATGCAGACACTCCCTTCACGGATGCCATCGCTTTGGTTGAGATGCCAAAGAAGTTCATCGTCCCTTCAATGAAGATGTACGACGGGACGACCGACCCTGATAATCATATAGCCCAGTACAAGCAACGCATGTTCACAACGGCAATAGCAAAAGAATATCGCGAAGCTAGTATGTGTAAAGGATTTGGATCTAGCCTCACGGGACCAGCTCTTCAGTGGTTTACGAACCTACCGAACGCGTCAATCGACTCGTTCGCGTCATTGACAGACCGCTTTGTTGAGCAATTCGCGAGCAGCAGGAACATAGAAAGGACAGCCGACGATCTCTATGAAGTGATACAGAAGAGAGGAGAACCGTTGCGCGATTACGTAGGTCGCTTCAACAAAGAGAAAGTATCCATTCCGGCATGTGTCACGTCCACTGCCATCTCTGCATTCAAAAGAGGATTGCTCCCAGACAGTGATTTGTACAAGGAACTGACGAAGTACCAGTGCAGAACGATGGAAGATGTGCTATCTAGAGCATGGGCTCAAATAAGGTGGGAGGAAGACCCTGCATATCGACACCTACTTTCCCCACGATCTGATTCGCGTGTTGTTAGGAACGAGCGTCCCTCTCGAGATGACAGACCGTACCAGAGACCACGCAGTGAAAGCACTAGCAAGAGAAGCGACAGCAGAAGCGACCATCGACCACTCAACCAAATTGAGAGCGACCAACGCTCATCATCCACATGGCCAGACATGAGTAACCTCGCAATATCTCCTGCAGAACTAGTCAATGTTCTTAATCATATATCTGGAGTAAGATGGCCTCAAAAGATGAAAGCACCAGGGGAACGAAGAGACACATCAAAGTGGTGCGACTTTCACTCTGACCATGGTCATCGAACAGAAGATTGCATCACGTTGAGAATGGAAGTAAACGAGCTACTAAAAAAAGGTCACTTGAGAGAATACTTGTCCGACAGGGCTAGGAGTCGCATCGACGACAGAAGCAATGACGAGGTGCAAAGAAAACCATCTCCTGCTCAATCTCCGGAGCATGATCGAATCATCAACGTGATATCGGGAGGATCAGAGGTTAGTGGAATTACTCATTCTGCTGCTAAAAAGAGTACTAGAACAGCTAGAACTCATCATGGAGATGTCAAAGCTATATGCGAGCGACTGTCGAAGTGCACGATTAGCTTTGCTTCAGATGAAGATAAGTGTGTCCTAGCTCCACATCATGATGCATTAGTCATATCTTTGACAATGCTAATAGTCTGATGAAAAGGACACTCGTTGATAATGGGAGTTCGACCAATATTCTCTTCATGGATGCTTACAAAGGATTAGGGCTGGATGAGAATGCACTGACGCGAAAATCCACACCACTGGTAGGATTTAGCGGTGAAGTAAAGCAGACCATAGGAGAAGTGACGCTGCCTGTGTATGCAGGAGGAATTAACCGACAGACAAAGTTTCTGATACTAGATTGTGCTACTGCGTACAACGCAATTATGGGACGTCCCTGGATTCATGACATGGGGGCAGTGCCATCGACACTCCATCAAACCATAAAATTTCCTACTCCATGGGGAGTCAAAGAGATCAAGGGAGAACAAGAGCATGCACGTTCATGCTACCAAACTACCCTAAAAGGGAAAGGTCATGAGCTATATCAACTAGAGATCCAATCGTCGATTCCACATACCAAAGAAGCAGAGGTGGAACAACTCTGTGAGATCCACTGACGGAAAAAGATCTTGATGAAACGAACCTCGAAACCTACCTCTTCTAGGTTAGTTTAGCTTTCAGTGTTTTGGTTTTATTTATTTCGTTATTGTCATAGTCATAGACGATCCACGAGATGTCTCTGCTTTCAATTGTTTTTCTTTACTTCGCGCATGTCTACGGACGAACTTCTTAATAAAAGGTTTTTCTACATATGAGTATTTAAGAATTCTCAGATTATGTTCGTCACTCGCTTTAATATCGACGTTGTATCCACAACTAGTGACGAGCGACAGTCATTGCACTGCTTATGACAAACGACAGTAAAAAAAAAAAAAAGGCATTGCCTCCTCATGATAGAGAACAACGACGATCGACGTTTCTTCAAAAAAACTAAGGGCAATGCTCATGAGCAAATTGACCATGGTCACTAGGAAGATAAGAGTCATGTACTCAATGTATATCGACATCGACGACAGTCGCTGATAACTAATTTAGAGGTACGACCTCCACATGCTATGACAAAAGTCATAAGCAAACAGATAAAGGCATGTCCTCAGTATACAGTGACGACAGTCGCTACTAAATAAATTAAGAGGTACACCTCACCA